TTGGGCGCGGCCGTGCGGGAGGAAGGGATCGAGCAGGGGCGCCCCTCCCCCAGGCACGATGCGTGCATGAGTGTGTGTGCGTGTGTTGCGTGTGGTGGCGGCGGGTGAGGGGACGAGGGGAAAGGTGGGGGGAGTGGGACGACGGGGGCAACGGGTTAGGGTTTCTGGGGGGGTAGTGGCCTTGTAGGCCAGAGATGGGGGGGCGGCTGGGCCGGCCGGTCGGCCAGCTGGGCCGGGGCCCAACGGGAGGGGAGGTTTTCTCCCCTTTTTTTTCTTCTCTGGTTTTGTGTTTTCTCTTTTTCTTTTAGTTTTTTTATATATATATCGATTCGCATTAAGTAGAGCCATCAGTTGATTTTTGTAAAAAGTGTAACTTGCCTCATAACTCAAATTGCATTGAATGGCACTGCCACAAAAAGTTTTACTCCAGAATAAATTAGTTTAATATTTTATAAAATTACCAAAGGCATTTTATTAATTGTTTTGCTGCTGTTTTATCCACTTATAGTATTTAAACATTTTATGAAAGTGTGGTTCCTCCACCGTAGTTACTTCTGCACCGTTGGGCACAACCCGAACATTTTAGTTTTAAAGTTCGAAAATCTTGATGTTTGCCTTTTATTAAATTTTGAATTTGAATTGGTTTTTGAACTAACGCGGGATTATCAACAATAACTGCGGTGACGTGGCATCATTAACGGGGGATTACTGTAGCTAAATACCCGGGCGTCACAGCAACGTGCCCTCCGAGAACCAAGTCGATCCGTAGCCAACTGAGGCCGACAAGCTCGTGAACATGAAGAAGCGCTTCGCGAAGAAGTTCACGAACGAATATATCAAGCTCGCGTGCAACGTCAAGCTCGACAAGTTCCTCCACAAGCTCGCCAAGAACATCAAGTTCAACAAGAGTAAGAAGACAATGGAAATCCTCCATGGCAAGAGGAAGTTATGAGAGATGATCCTCCTCGTCAAGGACGTCATCATCCCCGACCCGAACACAATGAAGAGCAACGCTAGGCAAGCTAAAGTTCACCATGCCCAAGTTCAATAGAAGCAATGATCCCGAAGAGTACCTTTCATGGGCATTGAAAGTCGACAAAATCTTCCGCTTGCACAACTATGAAGAAGAGAAGAAGATCGCGATGGCATCCCTTGAGTTCCAAGATTATGTCCTCATTTGGTGTGAACAGGTCATTGAGCGCCGAGAGGCAAAAGGTGAACCACCCATCACTACTTGGGCGTAAATGAAGGATGTCATGAGAGCACGCTTCGTGCCTACCTACTAGAACCGCGACCTTTTCAAGAAACTCTAGCTCCTCAAGCAAGGAACCAAGAGCGTTGAAGAGTACTACAAGGAAATGGAGATTGCAATGATACGAGCCAATGTCACGGAAGATGATGAGAAAACTATGTCACGTTTCTTGAATAGACTCAATCACCCTATCAAGAAGATCGCCGACTTCCAACCATACGCGAACCTCATCGAGCTAGTGCATCAAGCTACCAAAGTGGAACGTCAAGTGCAAGATGACTTCAAGTATGCCAAGTTCTCATCCAAGTCCTATGGTTTCTCCAACACCCAAGCTTCAACGACTCCAACACCTTCTACATCAACCAAGCCTTCTACAAGCAACATCGACAAGTCAAGTTACAAGAAAGCTTTGACAACCTCAAGTCATCCTCCTACAATGAGCAACTTCAAGCTGAGAGCTTCATCATCATCTACCCCAACCGATGAGACCGTCAAGACAAGTTCCTTCAAATGCTTCACATGCGGAGGCCGAGGCCACAAGTCCTTCGAGTGTACCAATAAGCGGACCATGATCCTCAACGACGATGGTACATACAACTCCATGAGTGAAGGAGAAATGGAAGCACTTGAGCAAGTCGCCATGCACCGGCAAGTGAGCGATGAAGAGGAACACGTCTTTTGTGATGAAGATTCAAGTCCCGCTCTTGTTGTGTCCAAGGTCTTGACCCTTCAACATCACCAAGAAGAAGACCAAAGATGCCACATCTTTCATACCAAGGCCGGCATCAATGGAAGGTCCGTCAAGGTAATCATCGATGGAGGGAGTTGTCATAACTTAGCAAGTGAAGAACTTTGCTCCAGACGAAGCACCCACATCCATACAAAGTTCAATGGCTAAGAGATTCCGGCACTATTCAAGTCAAGCATAGAGTGCAAGTCTCCTTCAAAATCGGAGCTTACGAAGACACTTTGGAGTGTGATGTCATTCCAATGACCATTTGCCACCTTCTTCTTGGTCGACCATGGCAATTTGATAGAGGTGTCATCCACAACGGCCGAACGAACCACTACATCTTCAAGATGAAAGGAAAGGAGTATGTACTTCGCCCTATGTCTCCAAGCCAAGTGATCGCTGACAAGCAAGCAACCCATCGTGGAGAGAATAGTGGGAGAGCGAACCACCAAAAAGAGAGTGAGCGCCACAAGCCAAAATTGAGTGCCTCCATGATGAGCGAAAATAAGAACTTAGTTCTATTTGCCACCAAAAGTGAGATAAGAAAAGTGTGTGAGAACCCATCTAGTTTCATGCACTATGTCCTTTTGTGCAAGGACAACGCCCCAGAAGCTAACACCTCTCACACTCTACCTTTAGCGTTGTCTTCTCTTTTGCAGGAATTCCAAGATGTTTTCCCCAACGAGCTACCTCCGGGACTACCTCCACTACGAGGCATCGAGCACCGCATCGACCTCATCCCCGGAGCACCACTTCCGAACAAAGCTCCCTACCCGCGTCAACCCCGAGTAAACCAAAGAAATACAATGGCAAGTAAAACATCTCATAGACCATGGACATGTGCATGAAAGTTCGAGTCCTTGTGCCGTTCCAGTCATTCTTGTGCCAAAAAGAGACGGTAGCTTTCGCATGTGTTCGGATTGTAGACCTATCAATGCTATCACCGTTCTCTATAGGTATCCCATTCCACGCCTTGATGATATGCTTGATGAACTTAGTGGTGCCACTATCTTTTCAAAAATTGATCTTAAAAGTGGTTACTATCAAATCCACATACAAGAGGGTGATGAATGGAAAACCGCTTTCAAAACAAAGTTTGGCTTGTATGAGTGGTTAGTCATGCCTATGGGTTTATCGGAAGCACCGGGTACTTTCATGCGTCTTATGAATTATGTGCTTCGCCCTTACATTGATGGGTTTATTGTGGTCTACTTCGATGATATCCTTGTTTATAGCAAATCTCTCACAGATCATGTCACCCATGTTCGAACTGTTTTGCAAACTCTTCGAAAAGAGCGTCTCTATGCTAACATGGAAAAGTGCCTCCTGTAGGAACCGCGTCGGCTGGCGAGCTCTTCGCCCCCGCTTGTGCGGCTCCCCTGGTCGGCCGGCCTGAGTGCCGGCTTCGCCTCCTGCTGCCGCGGCATCGACCAGAGGGCTCTTCACCCCCCTGCACCTCCCGCGGCCTGGCCGGCCGTCCCGAGCGCCGTCCTCGCCTCCTATAGCAGCTGCGTCGGCCGCCCGGCCGCCCCTAGTGTTGGCTTCGCCTCCTGTAGGCCACAACTTTGAGTCCCTTTTTGCCCTCCACTGACCCACCTCCGTAGATCCCTTGCCTCCCGCTGATCTTGTCCCGCCTTTGCCTGTGCTTTTCTCATGCGCTTTTGTTGATTCTTGAGGAGGCTGGTTGATGCTAGGGATAACCTAGACATGTTTGAATCGATGAGATTCGATTCACAGGAGCAAGGTGGGATTATTCAGTGTATTGCTATATATTCAATTGTATATGTAGCCTACGACGGACACAATTGAGCATGGATGCAGACCCTAGCCGAGGCCCAGTTTAGCAAATCAGCCACGTACGGGAAAAAAATCAGACACAGCGAAACACATTGAGCAAAAATTTAGTACCACCTCGAATATGTTTTAAATTCAAACTGAAAGCGTAAAATCACGGGAATAAGCGTATTGTGACGGTGAACCCACAGAGTCAATCCATGCTTTATTATTAGAGAAAGATTTCATGCGTTCGTTGTACTACCATGATTGAAAATGAATAAAGATCGGAAGATTTTTGCAAAAAAAAATGATCGTATTTTTTATCCATCTTACTCTTGAGTCTATCCTTTTACCCAGCTCAACGTGTCCTTTTTTATCCAAACATGCGCTTATATGCATAAATAGCATTTAACAAATCCAATTTTTTTTTATGGTGCAAGATGCTCATATGCATGATGTCCGTGCAAAATTTGGTTAAGTTTGGACATTTGAGGAGCTCATGTCAAAAAAGACAAATTTCGGATGTCTGAAAAACTTTTGAAAACAATACTGTTCACACCTGATTTTGTCTGTTTTTGCGAAGCTCCTAGAATGTCCAAACATCCCAAAATTTTGCATGAACATCACCATTTGAGCACCTTGCACCACACATTTTCTTTTAATGTTTCTGCTATTTTTTTTCCTTTTAATGTTCACCGGGCATAGATGAGCCGAACACCGACTTAAAATTTCGAACACACAGTTAATGAACTAATGACCGTATTTTAAGTCTGTAACCCCTTTGACAACTTCAATGACGTAATAACCCCTTTCACTCAACAGAGGACTACATATATATAGGCCAGCCAACTTGAAAGAGCCTGACATGTTTCCAGAGTACAAATGATCTAATTGAATTAAGATCAAACGAAATAAATTCAGTACAGAGCAACTGCCAAAAGGGGTAAATGAAAGGCAGCAAGCAACACAATAATAAACGAAGGTCAAATATCCCATCCCCCGCAAAAAAAAGGGTCAAATATCCCATAACCAACATAAACAAAACCATTCTATAAATGTTGTGACAACCAATTCCAACTTCTACATTAACGTCACAAATAGACGACAAATACAGATAGTATACTTCTAAAAAAATAGATAAACAGATAGTATACTAGAAGCGCCAGGCCTCAAGCACTCTTCACAATACTACTCGCATGGTGTAATAATCAATTGAAACTATCATCTAGGTGTCTCTATACCTACTTCAGATATCTGGGCCCCAGTCGAGAACATGCTCGACTGCGGAGGAACACGAAGCATTAAAGGTGTGGGCGAGGAGCCAATGATCAGACACTCTGATTTGCCATGCTCGAGCACCAGCTTCTCCCTCCAGGTGCTTCGCAGAGCCTTTAGCTTGTCGGCCACCTGGGTCATGGAAGGTCTCTCTTTCCCCCTGGTGCTCAAGCACATACTTGCCATCTCGGCAACTTCTACCAGCAGCATCTCCATCCCTGTGCTTACTATGCTCGCATCCAGGATGCCATCAAGGCTCCCATCCTTCATTGCGAGCAGGAAGGACGACGCGAGGTTCTTGGCTTCCATGGAGCCGTCGTGGTAGATGGCTGTTTTCCCCGTGATCAGTTCCAGCAGCACAACGCCAAAGCTGTAAACGTCGCTCTTCTCTGTTAGCTTCCGCTCCTGCAGGTACTCAGGGTCCAGGTAACCCATGGTGCCCTGCACCAATGTCATGAACTGAACCTCATCCTTGGGGAGCATCCTTGACGCCCCAAAGTCGGTCACTTTCGCCATGTAGTTCTCGTCCAAGAGAATGTTCATAGACTTAACATCTCCGTGTACTATAGGGCGGTTCGTGGACAGATGCAGATACGCCAGTGCTTCAGCAGATTCTTCAGCGACCCTAAGACGGGTGTCCAGTGAGGGAGGTCGACTTCCGTAGTTACGATGGATAAAATGAAAGAGAGTGCCATTCGGGATGAATTCATAGACCAGCATCGGAACTTCCACCTCTAAGCAGCACCCTAAAAGCCTGACCACATTTCGGTGGTTGGTTTGTGAAAGTATAATAATCTCCTGCACAAACTCGTCAGTTTCGGCCACGTTCATGATCTTTGAGCGTTTCACGGCTACTTCCTTGTTATCCTTAAGAATGCCCTTGTAGACAGTGCCGTGACCCCCCTTGCCCACTTCTCTGCTCTTGTCAAAATCGTTTGTAGCCTTCTTCAGATCATCCTGCGTGAATATCTTCAATGTATCGACTTGTTTTGACATAATTTGATGGTACAGTATCTGACCACCATTCTGATCGAAGAATCTTTCCTTCTCTTTTGCCAGCTTCCTTTTCTGATATTCAGCCCGTAGAGCAAACATGCAAACCATGAGGAAGACGACACCAGCGGATGTGCCTGAAATCATGACGGTTACATCAGTTCAACTAGAGACATTGCCCACATTTGGCTAAAAAATAGTTCCACGTATTGTGTCATCTCACCATTGCTTTACTACATGACATTTATACAAACTGTACTCTAGTCGGACTTATATGATTGGCATAAAGAAGTACACAAAAGCTTTCTGTTTTTTATCAAGCAATGTGTGAACAATTGGTGTGTAAAATATTTTGATTTCTTATAACCCATACCTAAGGCCACCTTCAGAGCTTTATTTGGGTCAGCTCTTACGCAGGGTATGCTCTGTGGATCATCACTCCTGAATCCTGATGGGCATGAACAGGTGTAGCTCCCATCGGTGTTTCTACAATTACCTTTGCAAGGATACAAAGACTGGTTTGGAGGTTCACACTCATTGATGTCTGTCATTTCAAGGAAGTGAGGAGAAAGTCAACATGCAGATCACATTCCAAGAGCAATAAAGTTGATAGAGGAGAAATTCCCCGCATAAAGAATGGACATAAAGAAGAAATTATAGGTTGATTTTGCGAGATGCATGTGCATACCTCGGCACCCTCCTTGTAGGTAAGGACTGCCCACATAACCTTGAGAGCAGTTGCAGCGGTAACCAGGGCCATTGGACACATTAATGCATTGGCTGTTCATGGCTTGACAGGCATACTGTGACCCCATCTTGGTGGCTTCCGAACAACTTCCATTGCCAACAACCCAATCAAGTACCAAAGGAAACCCCTCAGTATATTTACTTCTGAAATTTGTAGAGCTGACATATGAACGATCAAACTTGAACGAGTTCACCTCAGCGATGAATGAGTAGCTGCATGGGCTAAAAGACTGGATGCTAGCATTGTATATAGGTGGTATTGGTGTACATGAGGTGTTGAAGGAGCTGATGTTTCCTGGAAAGGGGGTCTGGCAGCAACCCATGCCAGCACACTCTGTGCTATCATCGACGTTACTTGCGTCAGTGCAGAATGAAAAGCATGAGTTGACAATGGGCAACTCAAGCTGGTTCTTGCCCTTGGTCACTCCTAGGATCATTCCAAGCATACTACACCCGATCGATATCAACTGGTTCTTGGTGTTGGAAACCTTATGAAAAGGATCAAGACTTAAGCCAACAAAACTGGTGCTATTAGTACCGTTGGTGTAATTGCATTGTGATGCTATCTTTGGGTTCTGAACACGAACCTCACCAAAGTTAAGATTGATGTCTAGTACCCTAACTCCGGTTGAGGCCAGATATGCCCTGTTCTCATGGCATGTAACATTAAAGGGTTCTTGGAAGCAGCCCTTTCCAGTGCCGAACGGGTACGGGATGCTGACGTTACCACACTTGTCTGGGCAGCCAGGCCGTGCCGTGTTGATGCTCTCAGAAGACCCAGACCCATAAACGGTGGTACTATGCTGCAGGATTAGCGTGACAGCAACAAGTAGTAAGAGCTTCTGACCTGGAGGAAAAGACGGAAACATGTATCATGTACATACCAATCTATCTGGGCCATATGTATGTTACGGTAGTTTTTGTGTTTAGCAAAAAAATGTTATATTAGGAAACGACTGAGACATGTATCATGTACATACCAATCTATCATTGATATCGTTCATTTGTCTTCACGAAATACAAAATGCCAAATACGACATATTAGTAGATGACAAACCAATGCGAACACCATTTAGGAAAAATCCCCTAAAATTACCATCACATAGGGAATATATTGGTAGTCCCCTAAAATTACCATCACATAGGGAATATATTGGTAGTTAAGAGTTTGATCCCACTACCACAAACATTTTGATCCAACAATATCCGAATCAGATGATGAAACAGAGATTAATGCCCGTCTTATAAAATAGAACATAAATTCTGTATGTGTCGCTTAGTTATTCTCGGATTTCAAGTCTCTTGCCATCAGACAAGAATTTAGGTTCAAATCTGATTTAGATAAAAAGAAGAAGAAAAATATGAATTATGCATCTATGTTGCGGAGTATACAAGAAAATAGTCACTAGTAATTGTATACTCCAGACTCCATGTTTCTTTCTGTTCTCATTTTATAAATTGTAGGAAAAGCACTACCTCCAATCCAGAATAACATTAAGTAGCGTGTTTCAGTTTGCATATACTTGTCATTTCGGGTTTTTGTATTCAATTTTCCAATGAAATACCTCTATTGATTGCTTATCGGCAGTGATGTTTAAAACTTAAGTACACTATCAATAAGGAAAAGATATATTTTGAAAACAAAAACATTAGTAACATCCTTTGTTGCTCTGTATGTAAAGCTAAAATGGCAAACATTCTCTTGCCCACTACGACTGACATATCATTTTGACTGATTTATACTGGACGTTCTTCCTGTTGTCCGAGCATGTTTCCGTTCTACAATACATTTAGAAACAAAGATTTTTGATAAATAACCTTCTGCATAACTGAATAACAATCTGATTAATCTCTGACCCCTACTTGCCACCAAAAACAGCGCATTTCTACATGACGCTACGGCGTGGTTGATTCCTCACTTGACATTACTCCGGAACCTGCATCTCAGCCCAACCATTATAAGTGCATACAAAAAGTTTTCGCCTGCTTTGCACGAACTAATGTAAGGTAGTAAAGTAAACAAAATATCACTCTACGCTGCGACGATTTCTACTGTTCTTCTCCCACTCCTAGTATCCCCAAAGGCCTGGAGTATGCAACACATCAGCGACACAAGAGACAAGACAGATTCACCAGGTTCCCCGGCCGTACCTTACGGGGGCTGGTAGCCCTGCGCGCATAACGGCGGGGCGGCGTAATATGGCCGCGGATACGAATCCGGAGTAGGCGGTGCCCGCCGGCTGCCGGATACTCGGACCCCACGTGGCGGCGACGGCGGCAACCGGAGGAACCAGACCGCCGGCCGTGGGGAACGGACAGAGGGGGACGAGCACCCGGAGGCGCCGCACTGGCTGGTGGTGCGCCATGTGGAGGAGGTCCATCGGCGTCAGGCATCTCGCTGGCCACGGCCGTGCTGGGCGGCGGGGCGAGGGTTTGCTGTGCTCCTCAGGTCAGCGGAATGGGAACGCGGGAGAGAGAAGAAGAGGGAGACTTGTCTGCGGGGCATATTGGTCATTTCGGCAAAGCGGGCATGTATGAAAGCCATTTTCGAATTTCTTAGTCCCAAGCCAAAAACCGTGGCATGGATAGAATATTTGCGATGATGGAAGCAGATTATTAAAAGTTATCAAGAGTAGGATTGCTCGCCACGTATGTTTGCGACGTGGTATGAAAACTGAAAACTTGTCCTCAAATCAAAGTGACACAACACAATAGAGTTTCGACGTATGAAAATAATTAGGAATTGGGACGCGGGGCGACGGATGATGGAGGGAAGACTTATCTGCCGGGTATATTTGTCATTTCAAAAAAGCTGGCATGCATGAAAGCCATTTTAGAAAAAAAAATATTCAGAAGTCAAACCGTGGCATAGAAAGAATATTCATAATGATGAATGCAAATTATTAAAATTTGTCAATATCAGGATTGCTCTCGTATATATGCCGCGTGGTATTTAATTTTAAAACTAGTCATCAGATCAAAGTAACACAATTCAATAAAAACTCGCCTCGTGGCATATATCTGCATATACAAGATAAAGAAAGTTTTCTCAATACGAGTAATCCAAGAATCCAAGAGATAGACAACAATGGAAAACTCATGTTGGTGCCCCAACCACGCGTGATCAAGGCAAGATCTTCTTCCCGTGCGCTGGAGGTGTGCGTCGCGGGCCGCGGCCTTCTGCGTCGGCGGCGGCGGTCGTCGGCCCATCCACGGGCTCTG